GAGAGAGCTAGGAACGGAGGCTTCGAGACAGGTTTTGGTAGCTTGCGCACATTTTCGAAGGGACGGCTGTGTGCGCTTTGTTCAGAGACTACTTGAACGACGGTGCAAGCGAAGCGGCTTTTGAGGAGACAGCGATCGGAAGTCCGTTCAGTGCGCGAAGAGGTCGGACGTTCCGACCGAGGCGTCGCTTCGTGTCTTCGATCGAGTGTGTGCCCGTGAATGAAGGTGGTGCCGAAGTGTATCACCATTGCTATCCAAGCCAAACGGATTTCCTTGCCTCTGCCGACCACGCAAGAGGCCGCTTCGCCCTCATCACTGGCGGGACCCAGGTTCGTTTCTTTCATTCGTGTAGTATTTTCTTTTGCTATTGCCTGTTTTTGCCGTGTGTCTAGTATTTTTCGTGTTGCGAGATAACCAATCTGGTTTTAATAAAATTCTTTGTTTCGTACCGAGAACCACTGTCTGTGCGTCAGTTAGCACTGTGTCAGCGCCGAGGATATGTAGCATCTGAGCTCATGGGAGCAGGCCGCAAGTACGAAACTAATAAATTGGGTGCCACCCTATTGGAAAAACCAGCATGAAAATCAAACTGGTCAAGTTGGTAGCTAAGCGGGGTAGACTGGTCAATGTGGTAGTGCAACTGGTTTAACTGGAAATCATGCTGGTTTAAGCTGGGCAAGCTAAAATTTAAGCTGGTCAGTCTGGTTTAAGTAAAAGCCAGCATGGTCTAACTACAATCTGGTTTTAGATTTAATCTGGTGCAGCTGGGAGCCATTCTGGTCCTAACTGGTAAGTCTGGTTTTCCATGGAGCCAATGTGGTCAAGCTGGGAGACAAGCTGGTAAAGCTGGTTGAACTCATAATCGTAGTGGTCAAGCTGGTCTTGCTGGGAGCGTGCACGCCAAGCTCGGCTAGAGATGGTCGAACTGGCATTGTTGGGAGCGTGCGTTTGCCAAGGTCGGCTTAGGCTGGAATGAGGCCACGTCCTGTTCTTTGTCCTCCTTTTTTGGTAGACGACCGGGCACTTCAGGCGCGCTGCGAGCTGCCTATGTGTGCGGGAAAAGAGAGAGAGAGAGAGAGAGGGTTAGGAACGGAGAATTTGAGGCACGTTTGGCTAGCTTGGGCAGATTTTCGAAGGAATGGCTATGTGCGCGTTGTTTGGAGATTACTTGAACGACGGTGCAAGCGAAGCGGGTTGTGGGGACACAGCGAGAGGCAGTCCGCTCAGGGATGGTAGAGGTCGGACGTCCCGACTGAGGCCTCGCTTCGTGTCTTCGAACATGTGTGTACTCGTGAATGACGTTGGTGCCGAAGAGTATTGCCAATGCCATCCGAGCCACACGGATTTCCTTGCCTCTGCCGACCACGCAAGAGGCCGCTTCGCCCCCATCACTGGCGGGACCCAGGTTCGCTTCTCTCATCCGTGGAGTATTTGCTTTTGCTATAGCCTGTTTTTGCGTGTCCAGTGTTTTGGAGTGGATTGGAGGCACAGGAGGGGGAACGAATGTAGAAAATGACGTTTGTGGGATGCTATGTCTGTGTTTTGCAACTGGTTGACTTTCTTGCTCATTCTCGGATGATGACAAATTGTGCCGAGGTGGTTTTCTCTTTCTTTTCTGCGACCCTTCTTCTTCTGTCGCAAGGTCGGTTGTCCCCTTTACTTTCTTTTCTTTGTTCTTTGGAATCTTCATATGTCGCTGAAGGAAGAAAACTTAATAGTTTAGTTTATGGCAAAGTTACGCCTAGATCATGTGAGCCTGCGAGCACTTCATAGTTAATAAAGGTATTATTCTGACCAATAGTTTACACAAAAAACCCAGATAATTTTATGTTTAACACATACGCTCGCAGCATCAGGTAGAAATATATTGGCCATTAATGTCATTATGTTCACACAAATATGGGCTACATTAGTGTCAATATGCGAACACAAAATACATTCATCCTCTTTTAGCTCATTGTTATTTTTGCATGCAGTGTAATGACTAAAGTAATAGAAAAAAAAACGCCTACCTCTGCTTATTTCAATCTGAATGAGCACAGTACCAGCACACATTCATATCCCATAATGACCAATGTGTGACGCATATTAAATATATCAGACTAGCAATAATAGTGGACCGGAAGTTTCTCACCTAGAGCATGAACCAGTGCTCCCACACCTCAAAGACAGGCTGTTCTTTAAACAGATTTGCAGTATTTTTAAATGAGAAGCCCACAACATTGGGTCCCAGAATGTACCCTTTCTCAAAAAGGCGTATTTTCAGCCTGAATTGTCTCTTAAAGGCTAGTCCCAGCGAGCAGAGTTACAGATCATAAGAAAAATGTACTGGATAATTCTGAATCGAGGAGGCATTTATCAATACAGGTGGATATCCTTTTTCCACCAAGGTGTGTGGTTAGAAAAATATGAAAATGGGGAGCCTCGCAAGGTGGTGCGAACAGTTTATTCGGATATTAATCAGGCTTCAGAGTTTGGAACATAATCAGTCAGCAGGTTCAATGAACTTACGTACCACGTCCACACATTTGTAACGGCACGCAGTGAATCAAGAAAGTAACAAAAACAGCAACCTGGCCAATTTGCCATTTGGCAGCTGCATCTCGAAACTGCCCGACAGTTTAAAAAGTTGCGTGCTAATTACCTATAAACAAAAGTGATGGTAAACATTTCTTAATGTGGCAACATGCCTTGCCTATTTGTACAGGCAATTGTGTAAGCTTAATCTATTCCCTGTAATTCCTGTAAAGATTAGAATCTACATTTAGGTTTTCCTTCAAATTCAACAATCTTAGATCACATTTTAGTAGGAATAGAGGCTGTACACAATTGACATTTGGGGATTTTTAGAATTCTTACGGCCCGTAGTGCGAGTTATTACAATATTAGATGACCTCAGAAGCTTAAAGTGATTTCTGAGATTGTCTATCTGTTGTGATAACTCATTCTACGGGCCATGAGCTTCCTAAAAATTCAACAATTAATATTATGCATTGCCTATTTAGTATTTTCCTATCAAAACGGGATCAAAGACCGTGACATACTCCTTTTTGAGCGCAAAGATCCTCCTGGTACGGGTGGTGTAGATTCCAGCAGCAGCACCAGTAGGGAGACAAGGGCGCTTGTCAGCCAATTGCGAGCGACGGCATCCCCCGTCGATTGATTTGAGTGAAAAACCAGCGCGCGCATGGATTGATCATGGTGCGGACTGCCTCTAAGACTTTTTGGGCTAGCTACTTAATCTATCATCGTTGGAGTTAGATATAGCATGGGAGTGAGCAAGAAAATGTCTCCCGCAAGTATTACTTACACACGTTCTAGGAAGTAGACGAGCAGGCACATCACTCTTCCTGAGGAAGGCGAGGTGAGAACTGTAGTTTGCATGTATTCCTATTGTCACAGGGCTAATAAGCGGTTTCGTCTTCTACAATATATAATATAACAATATCAAGCATCTTGAAAAACCTCTTTAGTGTCCCTTTAAAGGCCAAAAACACTTTACGGGCTTTCCACTTTTCCACTCTCTTCTATATCATCCCATCTCTCCCTTCAACAAGTGGCTCCCCTTCACAGATTAGGAGAGGAGGTCGCTAAGACGATTAGCTCCCCTGCAGAGGACCAAGGTCGAGTGTTGGTCTTTAAGGGAAGGGAACAGGTAAAATTTGTAAGACTGTTGATCTGGCAGTATTTTTATTACTTATTTATGTAACAGACACTTAAGAATATAACAAAGCCAATAAGCAGCTATGTGGACCAGCAGTTGATTTTTCTCCGTAAGTGGCACAGAAGCATAATGACTTTTCGATATAAATTCAGACAAAATGTGGATCTTGTGGCCTAAAAACTCAAAACTGTAGATAAGTAGATTTTTTGGTTGTATATTATTCTCTGAATTGTGAGTGCATAATAAGAAACTTCCAGAAATAAAACTACCTCCACTGCATTACACATTCATATGCCAAAAACAAAAGCTTCGGCCAGAAATAGAAGAGGGAATGTTCAAGAGTGTAAAAAGGAAATGCATGAAATGGATGAAGATTAACATAGGCACTACTTGCATTTATCAGTCTTTTTTGGGATGCAATGTGAAAGGTAGAAACACTTGAAATACATAGAATATGATACATAAAAGCTCCAATATAAGACATGTCACAATACATTAGGTAAAGCCTCGCAAGCGAATGACTGTTTGTGGGATTAGCGTAGAAATTGCAAAGTGCAGAACTAATATTTGATGTCAATTATTGGACTTACACGATGATCCTATGACTCTGCATGGGTGCAAAGCCCAGCCAGCAGAGGGCTCTTCGCAATCTTTGACAGCCTTTCTCAGCCTGTTGCCTCTATAGGGTGGTCAAGCTGTGTGGTCACATTTACACCAATTTGATGGGATTACTGACAAAGCATCATAATCCTCCTTGAAATTAACAACATGATACATTATCTGGAAAGAAGTATACTATTTACTTTCTAAGCTATTTCTGAAAAAAATTCGCCGCTCAGAAGACATACACCAGAGGGATACTGTTACACATGCAAGTAAGTGAGAGAAATAAAAGCATAGGAGCCCGTCCATGTGACAAGCAGACACATTTGCTTTTGATGTCTTTCACGCTCCACAACGAGTACTCTGCTGAAAGACTTGACGCCTTGAAGATTCCAAGCTCACAGGAGGGCACTACACGGATGCACAGGCTATCAAGCGCTCTGAAAAACTGGCCACAGATGCGGTGCCCCCCATTTTCTTGTAAAAAGTTCCTGATGAGGACCACATTTCCATCCTTCAGCTGGACACAATTGTCGGACGGCATGACAGAAAGCCGTGTGCCCTCCAAAGTGTGTTCAAAGTACTGGCTTCCCAGGAAGTTTAGAGGCGCTGGTCCGTCAAGGTGTTGCTTTAGCTTAGCTGGGCTTTGTTCTGCAGAACTCGGCGTGGAGGCGGAGTCGAGCTCTGACTTCCGCTTGATCACTTGTTGCAGAGCCAAGGCAGGCCCCCTCACCAACTTCTCCAGCTTCCCAAGGAAGTTTTCAAAAGGAAACGTTGAAAATGTGTCCACGGGGCCAAACTGCCGGACATCCTGTGCCAGGGGAATCAAGGAGTGGATGTTGTATACATAGATTTCATTCCCGTACAGGGTGCCAGCCTCAGAGACAAACCGTCTCAACAGAGACTCTCCAAGATGCAAGATCTGTGCAAGTGTAAACTTGGGGCTGGCTAGTATAGACATGGCAATGCTGAGCTTCATGAAGTGCGTGTAGAACTGCTTCTCCAGATGTTTCCGGAGCAGCGCTGGTCCAAAGTAGAGCACAAAACTGCAGAACCCGGCCACTTTCCAGTGCTCTCGCACATTCAGCGAGCATGGCTTGCAGTTGAACTTGCAGGAACTTGGTGCCTGGAATGGTAGCACTCGTTCCGAGATCTCAAGTTGGGATCTGATGGGAAGCTTAGAAACGAATGGTGTTGATGATGTCCAGTACTGAACGAGCAGTTTCTACAAGACACCTTGACAGACTAGATGCATATAGTCAAGTAGAAACATGCTGATCAGACCAACGCCCAGTGTCAAAAGTGGTGAAGTGCCACAATGATGGTCAAGATTCACCCAATCTCTAAACTCTTCGTCGGTGCGCAGTGGGGCATCGACATCTGGGAACATGATTCTCTCGCCATCATGCTTCCCTTTTTGAGCGCATTTTTCACATCCGAAGTATGCCATGTGTAATTTACGCTCTTGAGGTATGCCCTGGCTGGGGCATCGCAGACGAAGGAACGAAGCCTTACTTCATGCACCTTGCTGCTCAGACGGATGCCCTGGGTCATCAATGTTCCCATCTCTTCTACGAACTTTTCATGAAGATATTCACATCGTCAGGTTTGGAGTCTCCTTCGTAGAGAGCAGCAAGAGAAGGGGTCTGTCCACCGCTTTCCTTGACTGAAACAAGAATCGGCCAAGACTGCTTTCGCGAACTTCCAGCGATGGGAAGTCCATTCAGATTGACGGAGAGAGAGAGTATGGAGCACTCTGCAGGTAGGCACCCTGCTGAAACTTCACCCTATTGGAAAAACGTACAAGAAACAAATCTGGTGCTTGTACAGTCCTGGTATGGCACCAACATAATTTCTTGTTATTATGGATGCAGCTAGTTTGGTTTGGCGTGCTGCATAACTGGAGATACCGGCACCGCTATGGCTCCATGTCTGTCTATACTGGCAGCCAGGTTGCCTGCCGATATGATTCGTTGTGGCTGGTATGATTTTGCGTCCGATGGCGTAGGCGATCGACATCTTTCCACCAAAAACGCTTATACCGCAGGACCACCGGTATAACCAAATCATATATGCAGAAAGACGACCGACATCTTCCAACAAAAACGTCCATCATTTACCACCGGTATCGTTACATACACCATACATGTCGAATAGAACATAAGCCGCGTTTACATGAATGCGACTTAGTCGCACTGAATCCAGTTGCCGCATTCAATATACGGTCATGTAAACGGCATAATGCGCAAAGAAAGCGCATCGCATTGAAGTCGCTGGACAGAGGTGGATCGAGATGGCGAGTGCGCATTCATTCCACCCATGTAAACGGAGGACGCATTGCATTTTGGAAGGGGAGGATTATCGGAAGGCGCTCGCTGCGGGAGCGAGTGAACAGCTGAGAACATGGCAACGGCCAACCTCGTCGGAGGCGCGGTGAGCGGTCCCACAATCTTTTCCCCGAGAACAAATGCAAGCTTTTATTGAGATCATAAGTAAGCGGAATATAGCGGAGCTGCTCGGTGAGGGCGGCCCGTCCAAACCTTTGCGAAGTACGACTTGCGCGTCCGAAGGGGTCACAAAGGCTTCGGTGCAAGCACGAACGACACCGAGAGCTCCGAGCACTGTAGAGCACTGCATGGTAGCGCAGAATGAGCAGCTCCTAACTCGGTGCCATTCCTGGCTGCGCAAGAGCGTCTCGGACTCGGGGTCCGGTTGGTCCGGTCTCGATCAGCGACGTCTGGCGCGGCAAAACGCGGAGGCTTCCTCAAAGCGTGCGTACACACGTCGCCTCTCGTTCAGAGTGAACCGGCGGCCCGGCCTGGAGTCCTAAGCGCCTTGGTTTTGATGCTTCTTCCGTCCTGCAACTTCTTCCACAGCACCGAAGACAGCGGGCACGATCTTTATCGTTCACTGAATGCGTCGAAAGGCCTCCACGTGCGATGCACCGGAAAACGCGCTGCGGCTGGTGCCGGAACGGAACTGCATAACTTCGAGCTTTGAGTCAACATGCACGGCAACAAACCGATCGTGACACAAAGCCGCGGATACCGCATCGCCTGTCGACAGCGGCTAAGGGCCCGTTGTTCGTATCGTGGGCCGTGACTCGTACTCGGCCAACTCGCTGTCTTTTCGTGGTTCCTCTCGTCGCAACCAGCTGAAACCCCACGATTCCTCCACGATTCCTCAACCGATACCGGCGTCGGAGAAAAGCGAAACCGAAACGTAAAGCTTCCGCCCGGTGGCTTCCGCTGCCGCGGCCTTTCTAAGTTCCCGGCTTCCACGCTTCCGTTCGTCACGGAGATGGCGACGTAGCGGTTTTCGTCGCTGGCTCGTTCTACGTTTTACGGGACAGATGTTTTACTTTTCTTTTCTACTGCGTCTCTGGCTCTCAACTCGACGGCGCCTCTCATAGTTGAACCAGGCGTGGTCAGCCGGGGTCAGCACAACGCGGCCGGCTCGACTCGTCCGATCGCCGGACCACAGGCGACTTCCAAGTTCGGCCGTGAGGCCTAGGATCCGAAGGCCTCTGTCTCCGGAAAGCGGTAAGCGAATCTCGTCCCGTTTTCGTTCTACTTTTAAATTACTTGAGTTTCGCTACAGTGGAACCATGCGTGCCAAGTGTTCGTGACACTTTTAAACTAGAATAATTGTGCTTAATTGCGGTTTCTCATTTACCGAAAATGTAAATCGAGCAATGAACGAGGAGGCATGCTTGAAAATGATGTATGTACGATGTTAACTTCTACCTGGGCGCCTTCAAAAAAAGTCAAGACTGATTACGGTTGGATGCGAGGCCGGTCCCAATGCAATGGTAAGCACTTAAAGCGCCTTTCTGAACGGCATGTAAGCAATATAGCAATCAACGAGACGAGCGACGGCGAGAAGCTACGAGTGCCGGCGCCGAGCGATGAAGATTTCTCACTCTCGCTGCTTGCGCCGCTCGGTTCTCGGGCTTCTAGAAAACGTCGCTCATCGCCTTCGTCGCTCGCGCCAATCGCTTTCATAATGTGTGTCTCGTCGCGCGGCTGACTACCGTGTTTATTCAAATATAAGTCGACTTTTTTTTTTTTTTTTTGGAAATCGTGATTAAAGAATTTCGACCTACATTCGCGACCAAATTTTGCGACCCTACCGGAGGCATGAAGCTATCGAGTCACCGAGCCGGCGTTGCCGTAGAGCCGCGCCGCTTTTTGTTTCAAAAAGCTTTTGGTAAGAAAAAGAAGACGAAGTGCCCCAGCTGTAGAACGCTGAATCTTATGCCCCCGGAAAAACCTCGTGAATTCCCGGTCCTGATCCCAGGATTGACTCCAAATAGATAACAGGGTCAAACACCGTCTTCGGCAACCCAGGAATCCACTTCTTCAAGGCTCCGGACCTCGGAAAAACCTTAAAAGGTACCGTAAGCCCCTTGCAGCCGGTGCCACCGCCCTAAGCCTCGCGAGCAATACGGCAGCCAGCGCCAACGACTCACTTACAGCTGCGATAAAAGCTCGCACCGCACCGCATACCATCAGCGCCGTTATCGCCACCGCTATGTCAGTCACCGATCCAGCTGCCATTGCCTCGTCACCTCAAAGCATGGAAACCTCCGAAGGCACGACTTCACAGAAAGCAGTTGCACTGGCGCCTCGACAAACCACCGCGATTACTGTCATAATAAAAACCACCGACAATTTTAACCTTTCTACTATCCCACTCATTGTGATTAGTAACCAGATACGTACGACTGCCCAACTCACCAAACAAGAACGGCTGGACACTTACATAAAGCTTCGGGCCCCGCAAAACTTGATAGCCATCGACACCTAGCGCCCCACCGCTGCGGAAAAGATCATGGCTCTCCAGCACATTGCAATTAAAGATAAACTTCATCCGCTATCAACATACATAGCTAACGACCCCAACAACGCTCGGGCAGTCATTCACGGCATTCCTTTGGACGTCACCGATGCTACCATCAAAGAGGAACTCTACATCCAGGGCCAACGGATCATCAACTTCCGGCGGCTTGGCACGACGTACACTCTTCTCCTCATGGTAGAAGGCCCTACCATCCCGCGGTACGCCATCTTTTCCTCCGGCGTCTACAAGCTTTACCCACCAAAACCACTGAAAAAGCTATATCTTTACTGCTTTAGCCTGCAACATCGCTCAGATGTGTGCCCAAACCGAACTGAATATGTGTGCTGCGCCAACTGCGGCCAAAAGTTTCCGCCCTCCCAGATCCCGTCCGAGACCCCCCACGAGTGTGACACCAAGTGCATAAACTGTCAGGGCGAACACGCTGCCACAGACCCTCAGTGCCCTCGCAGAACAGAAATTAACAATAATGTGGGGCGAACAGCTGAAACACGGCGACTACAGCCACTCCGGTCAGCCCCCCAGCGTGACTCATCGACAGACTGGCCGGACCTGCCCACAAACAATCGCTACGCACTGCTGGCATCTCACCATCGAAGCAGAAGCAGGAGTCGGAGCTTCAGTCGCAATCGCAGCCAGAGCAGGACCAGCGGCATGCAAGACAGGCATACCCCCAAGAAAAAGATACCCCCAATTTTAAAACCTAAAGTTACGTTCGCCGAAGCCATGAATCGATCATGGGACAAACCAGCCGCCCGGGTGGCGTCGGCACCATTCCGGCGTACCCGCAACAACTCTCAAGAATCAGCAACGGAGACCACAATATTTGAAACTTTGCGGAAGGAATGGCCACCCCTGCCGGTCATCGAACCCCATTCGTCGCAGTCAACAGCGACAGATCCTTTGAGTGGTCCAGCTCTCCCACCTCACAACCCAATACCCACTCCCTCCCACCCACCTCCATCTCTTCTCTACTCTGAAACTTTCACCGCCTAGCTCAAACAGATAATCCAGCAAACAGTAGAGCACACTCTTGAACGCATAATCAGGAAGCAGCTTACACACGTCATAAGCACAACACTTGGCCCTTACACACAACAATTTGAGGCGCTACAAAGTCGTATACAGGCCCTAGAAGAGAAGGCGCAACCACACAAACGCCCAGCGATACAGCCCGTAGAACACCAGAATGACAACTAACCCTACACAAGTGACACCACCTGCCGTGTATTGTGTGCGTGCCGTGTATTGTGTGAGTGTTCGCCACGCACAGCGAACACGACCTTTGGTTCAGGCAACGGCGCGCGGGCTGATGCAACCGGAGACGCCGGCAAGGGAGAGCGAGCCCCGGTGAAGAACGTGACGCCTGCGCGAAAGAACAGACTGGGCGCGGTCGCAGACCGAAGAAGACGTTGTCAACCGAATGTAATCTATCAGTTAAATAAATATATATCCTGCATTACCCTAAAAATACTGGTACACCACAATGGCGACGAGGATGGGATCTATGCAACAAAGACGGATATAAACAACTGAGCGACATCGGAACAAAGGAGACAGCGGTAACGTGAGTGACGCCCCATCTCAAAC